CATCGAAGTACACTGCTGAGGGGAGCAGCGGGCGGGCCAGGAGAGGTCTGCCACGCCATGTGGTCGCCTCCGGGGCAGGCGGGAATCGAACTCATGACGAAGTGGCTTTAGCTTCTCAGTGCTGTGCTTTAACCCGCTGCGCCACCAGGGAGGGCCCAAAGTCATATTTTTAAAACCCAAAAGATTTGATGGGAGAAGAAAGAAAACCCTTCTCTAAGCGAGGAAAAAGGGAAATGTAATTTTTTAAAAGAATGTATGAGGTGTCTGGAAGCAGTTTCTGAGTAACCCTTTTAAAAGACTTAAGGGAAGCCACACTGGAGGGAAGGCAACGTGCCAATAGCCCGCTGATCTACAGACCTCTCTATTTCTTCCGTTTTTTTTTTTAATGTTATCGAGGTGTTACTGATAACATATTTTTATTAGTTTCAGGTGTGCAACATCATATTTATAGAGTATTGTGAAATCATCACACTCCAGTTAGCATATCACTTTGAACAGCTACATTTTTTTTTTCTTGTGATGAGAACTTTTAAGATTTCTCAGCCACTTTCGGATATGCAAGACGGCATTATTCACTGTATTAAACTCTCTCATCGTGACTGTGAGACAACCTCACGGCTTACTTTATAGCTGGAAGCTTGTACCTTTTGATCCCCATTTTGCCCACCCCCACCAATCTGTTCATTGCTTCAATGAGCTTGTCTTATTTTGCTTGTGTTTTAGATTCTACATAATGAAAGAGAGCATGTGGTATTTGGCTTTCTCTGACTTTCACATTTAGCTTCCTGCCCTCAGGGTCCATCCATCTTGCCACAAATGGCAAGAGCTCATTCTTTTTAATGGCTGAATACGATTCTCATTAAATATAAATATATATATATATATATATTGATTGATTGATTGATGCATACAAGCACTGGGGTGCAGGCTAGAGGTGTGGGGATGAGAAGATTAACCAGAGGAGTGAGCAGAACAGGCAGATCTACTGAAGTACACTGCTGAGGGGAGCAGCAGGGAGACAGGAGAGCTCTGCTGTGCCCTGTGGGTCAGCGCCCTGGCAGGAGCCAGCTCACCTGTAGTGGCTGCCAAAAGCTTCCTAGTGCTGGAACTTAACCCCTGCGAACCAGAGAGGGCCCTCTCTTGTCTTTTTGATAATAGTCATTCTCACAGGTGTGCAGTGCAATCTCATCATGGTTTTGACCTGCATTTCCCTGAGAATAAGTGATGACGAGCACGTTTTCACGTGCTTATTGGCCACTTGTAACTCTTCTTGGAAAAACATCTATTGAGATTTGAGATTTTTTTCCAGGAAAAAAAAAGTCTTTTCTACAAAAGATCAAAGACTTGGGAAAGAAAGAAGTGCTTTCCAGTAGAATTATGTGCCTTAGAATAGTAATACAATTTATTTTATCTGATAAAAATGTCTGTTTTGGGGCATGTCTGGTGGCACAAGTGTTAAGGCTCAGCACTATGAAGCTATCAGCAGCCTCTGCAACATGAGTTCAATACCAGGCCAGGGAGTGACCTCCAGGGCGCAGCAGACCTCTCCTGTCTCCCCAATGCTCCCCTCAGCAGCATATTTCAGTAGATCTGCCTGTTCTGCTCCCTGTCTGTCTCTGGTGAACCCTTTCACACACACACCCCACACCTCTGGCCTGCACCCCAGTTCTCGAGTGCATAAGTAAATAAATCTTTAAAAGAATCTATCTGCTCTGTCCCTGTGGCTGGTCTCCAATCCCGTGCTTATGAAAAAGCAGGTCATACCCGTTGGGTGAGCAGGTGAGTGGGAAGCAGCCCTGGGTGGTGACTCTTTCAACCCCACACTGTGCCAACCAGAGCACGAGGGCAGCGGTGTGACCCTCAGCTGCCTGTGTGCGGCGTTCCCTTTGGCCTCGCGTGTGAGGCGAGGGTTCTGCAGGCGTCAACTCTTCGAACTTGTCTGTGCTTGAGGAGATTAGAAAAGATCCAGCAGCAGGAGCAGCCTTCCCGCTGGGGCTCCCTCTGACACACCATTCCTCTTGTTGCTCAAATTTTAACTCCTTTGTCCCCTAGCCCTAAAGAAGAACGTATTTTTAGCACGTTCAGAATATTTTCTTCAAAGTTTGTCAGTCTCCATTCCATTAATTCGACGGATTAAGTAACACACTCGACAATGCTTCAGGGAATAGTTAACACACTCACGTGGAGTTACTGCCATTGATAACCTCATTTTAAAAAAAGATTTGCCTTTTTATTCATGCATACAAGAACTGGGGTACAGGCCAGAGGTGTGGGGGG